TACCTTAGCTGTGATGACCTGTTTTTGGGATGGCCTACCTTAGCTGTGATGACCTGTTTTTGGGATGGCCTACCTTAGCTGTGATAACCTGTTTTTGGGATGGCCTACCTTAGCTGAGATGACTTACCTTAGCTATGATGACCTGTTTTTGGGATGGCCTACCTTAGCTGTGATGACCTGTTTTTGGGATGGCCTACCTTAGCTGTGATTGCGTGATCATCGTAGGGGTTCACATCTGTACATTCGTTTGTGGTGTACATCAACACGAAGCCCACAACTGCTGACACCATGGCAACCACTCCTGCCTCTAACACCTTGATCCACTTCTTACGCATATATCTGTAAATGAAAATGTCTAGATTACAAAGTTAAAGTTCAAAAGTATATACACTTAATGTATTTATATTTATCTGATATCCAGTAAACAGTTTGTTCCTTTTTGATTTCTGAATTTAACTTTTTAATTTGATTTACATATAGACTTTTCAAAATTGAATTTAACAAAATTCTATTTCCGTAAAAACATTGTTTTTATAAACACAAAATGTATCATATATATGTATGTGTTACTTACTTTTGCCTAAATACTGTTAATTTGTAGTTGAGCACAACAAAGGCGGCACCTATTAGTCCCCCTGCAAGTCAAACCATTTGTTTTAGACTTTGTTGTCTGACAGGTGTGAAAAGCATTAAAACAGAATCAACTCAGAAATACACTGTACAAGCCCTTGGTAATTTATCACCTCCACTTTAGTTTGTAAATCAGAGATAATCATGCTTCCTTGAAAATTAAGTGGCTTATGGTTTCTTGGTCAGCATATCCTAACTAATTGTTATAAATGTTTATTGTTTGCTATGTCATTCACTTGAGTTGTTGAAAAGACAATATAAATAACTCCAGTGCAATCATACAAGTTTTACCAGGATGTTTAAAGATCAGACAAGGTCTGTAACTTTGAGCATGGCATTAAACTGTAAAAATCTAATGTTTTTAAAAAAGGTTAAACAAAAAAAAACATTGTTAAGATTGATATTTCTCCAGTTCCTTTATGTGAACTTGTCATTTTGTGGATGGAAATTTTATGATACAACAAAAAACTAGTGTCAGAAAGTCTAAAGACATTTTAAAATATTAAGATGGTTGTGGAAGTCTTTTTCCATAAATTATTTTTATAACGTTTTATCAAACATTTCACTTACCTAAAACTGCCATCACTATAAAAACAGGAATTTCTATGAGATCAAAACTTAAATCCTGCAAAATACAGAAGATTTGATATAACCATAAGGCAATGAGCTTGGTAATAATAATTATATTGTATTGTAAGATGCCAATCAAACAAAATGTTCTTTTGTAACATCTGAACCATTTTTAAATAAATCTTTATTGCATGCAAGAATAATGAATCACTCACAGACACAGACAACAATCTATTTCTGTTAAAGAATTTCATCTGCAATTCTACAGTTGTCATAGATTATGTAACCAGTTCATAACAAAAGTACCTAATATTGTCATAAAATCAAAAGCTCCCTACTGCATTTTGAATACTCACAACCTTGAACACATTAAAGCGAACCAGTCCCGGGGCCGACAGCTTGGTTGGATGGCCATTAAATGCACTGATCAAGAAGTTGGTACCAAAACAGGCTATCATTGATGCAAAGAACTACAATGAAACACGAACATGCATTCGAATAGATTTTTTTTTTTTAATCCCATTAATGTTTCAAAAGTCTGTATCAGAACAAAATTCTTCAACTAACAAGTTCTCTGAATTTTTAAAATTGTCAAATGAAAGAAAATCAACACTGGAATTGCCTAAAGTCTGCATTAAAAAGAGTCATACTATTTCTGGTCTCTCTACTACTCCATCTACAAATCCCCCTCCCCTTCCCCACACTCCTATCAAATTGTATTCCTTAGCTGTCTTCCTTATACTGCCTCAACCTCCCCCTACTACACTGGTCTACCTAATTGTGGCCTCAATCTGCCCCTACTATACTAGTCTACCTAGTTGTGGCCTCAATCTCCCTCTACTATACTAGTCTACCTAGTTGTGGCCTCAATATGCCCCTACTATACTTGTCTACCTAATTGTGGCCTCAATATCCCCCAACTATACTAGTCTACCTAGTTGTGGCCTCAATCTCCCCCTACTATACCAGTCTACCTAATTGTGGCCTCAACCTCCGTCTACTATACTAGTCTACCTAGTTGTGGCCTCAACCTCCCCCTACTATACTTGTCTACCTAGTTGTGGCCTCAATCTCCCCTACTATACTTGTCTACCTAGTTGTGGCCTCAATCTCCCCTACTATACTTGGCTACCTAGTTGTGGCCTCAATCTCCCCCTACTATACTTGTCTACCTAATTGTGGCCTCAATCTCCCCTACTATACTTGTCTACCTTGTTGTGGCCTCAATCTCCCCCTACTATACTTGTCTACCTAGTTGTGGCCTCAATCTCCCCCTACTATACTTGTTTACCTAATTGTGGCCTCAACCTCCGTCTACTATACTAGTCTACCTAGTTGTGGCCTCAATCTCCCCTTATCATATTTGTCTACCTAATTGTGGCCTACCACTCCCCCTACTATACTTGTCTACCTAATTGTGGTCTCAACCTTCCTCTACTATACTTGTCTATCTAATTGTGGTCTCAACCTTCTTCTACTATACTTGTTTACCTAATTGTGGACTCAATCTCCCCCTACTATATGTGTCTACCTAATTGTGGCCTACCACTTCCCCTTCTATACTTGTCTACCTAATTGTGGCCTACCACTTCCCCTACTATACTTGTCTACCTAATTGTGGCCTCAACCTCCCTCTACTATATAGTCTACCTAGTTGTGGCCTACACTCCCACTACTATACTTGTCTACCTAATTGTGGTCTCAACCTTCTTCTACTATACTTGTTTACCTAAGTGTGGCTTCAATCTCCCTTTACTATATGTGTCTACCTAATTGTGGCCTCAACCTCCCTCTTCTATATAGTCTACCTAGTTGTGGCCTACCACTTTCCCTACTATACTTGTCTACCTAATTGTGGCCTCAATCTCCCCCTACTATACTTGTTTACCTAATTGTGGCCTCAATCTCCCCCCACTATACTTGTCTACCTAGTTGTGGCCTACCCTCCCTCTACTATACTTGTTTACCTAGTTGTGGCCTCAATCTCCCCTACTATACTTGCCTACCTAGTTGTGTCCTCAATCTCCCCTTACTATACTTGTCTACCTAGTTGTGGCCTACCCTCCCCCTACGATACTTGTCTACCTCTACCTAGTTGTGGCCTCAATCTCCCCGTACTATACTTATCTACCTAATTGTGGCCTCAATCTCCCTCTACTATACTAGTCTACCTAGCTGTGGCCTCAACCTCCGTCTACTATACTAGTCTACCTAGTTGTGGCCTACCCTCCCTCTACTATACTTGTTTACCTAGTTGTGGCCTACACTCCCCCTACTATACTAGTCTACCTAGTTGTGGCCTCACCTCCCCCCTCTATACTAGTCTACCTAGTTGTGGCCTACACTCCCACTACTATACTTGTCTACCTAATTGTGGTCTCAACCTTCTTCTACTATACTTGTTTACCTAAGTGTGGCTTCAATCTCCCTTTACTATATGTGTCTACCTAATTGTGGCCGCAACCTCCCTCTTCTATATAGTCTCCCTAGTTGTGGCCTACCACTTTCCCTACTATACTTGTCTCCCTAATTGTGGCCTCAATCTCCCCCTACTATACTTATCTACCTAATTGTGGCCTCAATCTCCCTCTACTAAACTTGTCTATACTTGTTTACCTAGTTGTGGCCTACACTCCCCCTACTATACTAGTCTACCTAGCTGTGGCCTCAATCTCCCCCCTACTATACCTGTCTACCTAGTTGTGGCCTCAATCTCCCCCTACTATACTTGTCTACCTAGTTGTGGCCTACACTCCCCCTACTATACTAGTCTACCTAGTTGTGGCCTACCCTCCCCCTACGATACTTGTCTACCTAGTAGTGGCCTACACTCCCTCTACTATACTTGTCTACCTAGTTGTGGCCTACCCTCCCTCTACTATACTTGTTTACCTAGTTGTGGCCTACACTCCCCCTACTATACTTGTCTACCTAGTTGTGGCCTACACTCCCCCTACTATACTAGTCTACCTAGTTGTGGCCTACCCTCCCCCTACGATACTTGTCTACCTAGTAGTGGCATACACTCCCTCTACTATACTTGTCTACCTAGTTGTGTCCTACCCTCCCTCTACTATACTTGTTTACCTAGTGGTGGCCTACACTCCCCCTACTATACTTGTCTACCTAGTTGTAGCCTCAATCTCCCCCTACTATAATTGTCTACCTAGTTGTGGCCTTAATCTCCCCGTACTATACTTATCTACCTAATTATGGCCTCAATCTCCCCTACTATACTTGTCTACCTAATTGTGGCCTCAATATCCCCGAACTATACTAGTCTACCTAGTTGTGGCCTCAATCTCCCCCTGCTATACTAGTCTACCTAATTGTGGTTTCCCCCTCCCCCCACTATACTTGTCTACCTAATTGTGGCCTCCCCCTCCCCCTACTATACTAGTCTACCTAGTTGTGGCCTCCCCTCCCCCTACTATACTGGTCTCCCTAGTTGTGGCCTACACTCCCCCTACTATACTAGTCTACCTAGCTGTGGCCTCAATCTCCCCCCTACTATACTTGTCTACCTAGTTGTGGCCTCAATCTCCCCCCACTATACTTGTTTACCTAGTTGTGGCCTCAATCTCCCCCTACTATACTTGTCTACCTAGTTGTAGCCTCAATCTCCCCCTACTATAATTGTCTACCTAGTTGTGGCCTTAATCTCCCCGTACTATACTTATCTACCTAATTATGGCCTCAATCTCCCCTACTATACTTGTCTACCTAATTGTGGCCTCAATATCCCCGAACTATACTAGTCTACCTAGTTGTGGCCTCAATCTCCCCCTACTATACTAGTCTACCTAATTGTGGTTTCCCCCTCCCCCTACTATACTTGTCTACCTAATTGTGGCCTCCCCCTCCCCCTCCTGTATTTGTTTACCTTATTCTGTTCTCAGTCTCCCTCAATTATACACTGTACCTGCGCTCAATCTCCTCCTACTATACTTGTCTACCTAATTGTGGCCTACACTCGCCCTACTATACTTGTCTACCTAGTTGTGGCCTCCCCCTCCCCCTCCTGTATTTGTTTACCTTATTCTGTTCTCAGTCTCCATCAATTATACACTGTACCTGCGCTCAATCTCCTCCGACTATACTTGTCTACCTAATTGTGGCCTCCACTCGCCCTACTATACTTGTCTACCTAGTTGTGTCCTCAATCTCCCCTTACTATACCGGTCTACCTAGTTGTGGCCTCAATCTTCCTCTACTATACTAGTCTACCTCCTACTATACTTGTCTCCCTAGTTGTGGCCTCCCCCTCCCCCTCCTGTGTCCTACTATACTTGTCTACCTAGTTGTGTCCTCAATCTCCCCTTACTATACCGGTCTACCTAGTTGTGGCCTCAATCTCCCTCTACTATTCTTGTCTACCTAATTGTGGCCTCAATCTCCCCCTACTATACTGGTCTACCTAGTTGTGGCCTCAATCTTCCTCTACTATACTAGTCTACCTGGTTGTGGCCTCAATCTCCCTCTACTATACTTGTCTACCTAATTGTGGCCTCCCCCTCCCCCTCCTGTATTTGTTTACCTTATTGTTCTCAGTCTCCCTCAATTGTATACTGTACCTGTGCTCAATCTCCCCCTACTATACTAGTCTCCCTAATTGTGGCCTCAATCTCCCTCTACTATACTGGTCTACCTAGTTATGGCCTCAATCTTCCTCTACTATACTAGTCTACCTAGTTGTGGCCTCAATCTCCTGCTACTATACTAGTCTACCTCCTACTATACTTGTCTCCCTAATTGTGCCCTCCCCTCCCCCTACTATACTAGGCTACCTGGTTGTGGCCTCACTCTCCCCCTACTATACTGGTCTACCTAGTTGCGGCCTCAATCTTCCTCTACTATACTAGTCTACCTGGTTGTGGCCTCACTCTCCCCCTACTATACTGGTCTACCTAGTTGCGGCCTCAATCTTCCTCTACTATACTAGTATACCTGGTTGTGGCCTCAATCTCCCTCTACTATACTGGTCTACCTAGTTGCGGCCTCAATCTTCCTCTACTATACTTGTCTACCTAGTTGTGTCCCCAATCTCCCCTTACTATACCTGTCTACCTAATTGTGGCCTCCCCCTCCCCCTACTATACTTGCCTACCTAGTTGTGGTCTCCCCCTCCCCCTCCTGTATTTGTTTACCTTATTCTGTTCTCAGTCTCCCTCAATTGTACACTGTACCTGTGCTCAATCTCCCCCTACTATACTTGTCTACCTAATTGTGGCCTACACTCCCCCTACTATACTTGTCTACCTAGTTGTGGCCTACACTCCCCCTACTATACTTGTCTACCTAGTTGTGGCCTCAATCTCCCCCCACTATACTTGTCTACCTAATTGTGGCCTCCCCATCCCCCTACTATACTAGTCTACCTAGTTGTGTCCTCAATCTCCTTCTACTATACTTGTTTACCTAAATGTGGCCTCAGCCTCCCTTGTCTACCTAGTTGTGGCCTACACTCCCCCTCCTATACTTGTCTACCTAACTGTGGCCTCCCCCCCCCCCTACTATCCTTGTCTACCTAATTGTGGCCTCCCCTCCCCCTACTATACTAGTCTACCTAGTTGTGGCCTCAATCTCCTTCTACTATACTTGTTTACCTAAATGTGGCCTCAGCCTCCATCTACTTAATACTTGTCTACCAAATTGTAGCCTCAACTTGCCCCTACTGTATTTGTCTACCACATCCACTGCCCATAACATCCCATCCAATGTATTCATAACTTGTCTTCCAAATACTGTGACAAATAACAGTTATATAGTATTATAAACAACTTTGAAAACAAATGAATTGCTTAATTTCTGCAACCAATAAAAACATCAAGACATTGTTCAGTCTAGGACATGACATACAATATTAGTACACTTATTTTGCACAAGAATAACAACAAGAATGTTACAGCTTTTGTGGTGAACACGTTTGACAGCTACCAACTTCTTCTCTGCAAACGATTGTCTACATTGCAGTCTCATATGTACAATTTATCTTCAAAGCAGTTGCAACATTTTTTCTAGTACATTTCTGGAAAGATCTAATGTGCATTGTGCTTTCAGACATTTACAACTAATAGTCTATTCAGTATAACCAAAGTGCAGTCCATACTATACAATGATGAAGGAGGCTTTTACTGTTCTCCTGGGTAGCTCTACTTTGTCATACCTAGGCCACAGCGTTCAGATCTCCCTAACTACAGGGTGGCAGCCCGCAGTTACTGTCACATTACTTTTGCCCAGGCAGGTATTGATTATTTCGTTTGATCATTTTCTCAAAGATCTTTTCAATTCTATTAAATTCCACCATCTTAACAGAATAAAAGTACAATGCAAAGTGCATATGAGTTTAAAGAAATCAAGTAAAACCCAGCAACATCACCACCAGAACTTCAAATCTTTCTGGCTGTTTCCTTTTTTTGATCTAAAAGCTAATAATTATATATATAATAATAGATACAATCATCATTTCTGAGATATGAAATCTTTGATTTTTTATTCATTTATTATTTAACTCACAACAGCATAATCTCCATCAGTTGTTTTGTTTTGGGACTTTGTCATTAGATGGACATATACAAAAAATTCTTTAAAACTTAAGAAACATTTCAAAGATGATTGAATTACGTTTTCCCCCAGGAAAATTGCTGATTTTTTTTTTAAACAATTGTAACTTTAACAAAATTAGGTTACACTTGTGTAACATACCACTCTCCAAGTGAGGTCCTGGTTCCAGAAGCTAGCTGCCTCCTCCAAGCTAAAGAGAGTTCCCCCCACTGGGGCCCCAAATGCTGCTGACACCCCTGATGCTGCCCCACCCGCAACAAAATCCCGTATCTCATGGTCGTCACGGAATCCATCATATACCTACAATATAAACAAGAGTCACAAACAAGTCACAAATCTCAGGGTCATCATTTTTTAATTCACCAATAATACCTGAAATATACTGTATAACATGAAATGTTTGTTGTGTATAAACTATCGTTGTTTTCATCGTTGCTATGGAACCACGAATATAAATACAACGAATATAAATACTACTCGAAAGAATATACACAACGAAAATGTGAAAATTATTTGAACTTTATTTCATTCAAAAATGTACATACAAAGGTAATATATTTGACATGTATAAAAAATGTACGCATTTTCGCGGCAAATTTACAATTCCGGATTCCATCGGACCATATTCCTATTCTGGTTTATTTACCGATTTCACATTTCCGTGTGATATTGACACAGCGATTGACAAACAAATATTTTAGATAGAACCTAATTGAACAATTCATTCAAAATAAAGGTATGTTTTTCTTTACTTAAATGGACATGTGTTATCAATCTGTTCTATAAATATAATTTAGTAATGATTAATTAAGTATGTGACCAATCAAGTGAAATGGTAGGCCGACGGGGCGTCAGAGAACAGGTCAGCAACAAAGTGTTTTCTTAGCATAATGTCAACACTTCCACCGCAGTTATATTTACTTTACCTGTGTGATGATTATTTTCATTGTTTGACTTGTACAAATAAGTATGATTAGTGTGACTCTTTGTCATTTTAAAACATACCACAAATGTATTCCGTAAATAGACAAATGATTCTTGGAATGGTTGACCTCGCTAACAACGAAAATTAAATACATTTCGTTGTACTGCAGGCTAACCATGAAAGTTTGTACCCACGAAATTATCAAACCAAAAAAGAAAGTACACACGAACATTTCAGGTTATACAGTAAACAACAGCCGCAAATCTCCTTGTCATCAAGCAACCAATCACATAGCTTAAAATCAAGTCACAAATCTCCTTGTCATCAAGCAACCAATCACATATCTTAAAATCAAGTCACAAATCTCCCTGTCATCAAGCAACCAATCACATATCTGAAAATCAAGACACAAATCTCCTTGTCATCAAGCAACCATTCACATACCAGGTAGCTTAAAATCAAGTCACAAATCTCATGATCAATCTAGCTACCTTAATGGCACCTATTACCATGTTTTACATGAATTTTCATGGAAATCCAACCACAAACGAAGAAGTTCTGATACATTTGATACAGAAATGAAGTAACTACCTTGTACATTTCATGGGTGTTGTGAAAGGGACAAATTCACTAGCTTCGAAGCTACTATTCACAAGCAAAATATGACATATTATGTCCTTTAAGTGATTGCATTCCTTAGTCCATATTCTAAACCACAATTTCTTTGAAAATTGTAAAAAGACTGCCTCCTGTTTGACCATATTCCAAATCATCATAAATGACAACGAAAAACTAATTAAGTTCCCGAATGCCTCTCAATTACAAATATTTTTTGCTCAAATTTGAACTCAGCCTTTGTCGTTGTATTACAATGTTTTCATCAGAATTTAGTATCATATTGAATTAAGCCATTTGGTCAACTTAGAACTTAACCATAGCTTTTGTATATTGTATACGATTGCCAAGTTGTATCAAAATTGAATGATATTGTAGCAGGTTATCTTGTTGAGAACTCAATTTAAGATTGACAGACAGATCTATGCTCCTCACATTATGAAAGACTTTAAATTCAATGTTGAACATTATTACATACCGAGCACCTCTTTCTGCCAAAAAAGTTGATGCGGCCCTTGCCCAGTCCTGCAGCAATGATACCTCCGGAGTGAGCCATGGGACCCTCCTACAATCAAGCACAACAACCAGCCATAAAACAAAATGTTCATTAAAACGGTTCCATATATCTAATTTACCATGACAAGTCTTCCTTTCACTAAACCTTGAAATTCCAACTTGTCTGTCATTTTATATCCATTCTGATTTAATTATCCTTAATCTTTATTGCCTGTCTAATCCACTAGATGACCTACTGAAACCAGACCTCGACCAGTTTACTCACTGGACTATTCTCCTTTAGGAAACAGAATTTTCAAAACAATTTATTAAATCTTTTGTAAAGGTCTAACATTCTATGTATAACATTACAAATAGAATACACAATTTAGACTAACTTCTGGTTTTTTAATTGCATGTTGATATGTGGGTTAACGTTTTAAATAGAATGATTTTGAACAATGATCATGAATGAATTCCTGGATTTTTCTTTATATGTATATACCAGACCAAATTGATTTTTATTCCGAACAAAATTAGCATTTCAAATTTTTCCTTTAAGATCAAGTCCTGAATAAAAGTGAATTATGTCTAAGTTTAGATTTTGAAGACATGGTCTAGGAGCCAACTGACAGAAGAAGCCATTTTGTTCTTCCTTAACATTATAACCACAAAAAGGTTTGGTTTTTAAACTTGAATCTATTAAAAAAAAGGTTGAATATTATATTTTAATGTTCAAATTATAAAGTATAACATTTTTACTAGTTAGTCACCGAAGTAGAATTTCTACAACTAAAGCTATTTATACACTGGCTAATCTGACATGCAAGGATAACTTGGATACAAGATGTAAATTATACTGTTAATATAAGGTTTCAACGCCGAAAACAAGGGGTAAAACCAGTGAAAACAAGAGACCCAGATTGCCTTTATCATTGCTTACCAGGATATTTATGCTATCAAGACAAAACATTCTCATTAAAATTAATATTACAAACAAATTCCCAAGGGTGGGGCCTGACCATGCATCAATCCTGTTAGCATATTTGTATCCAAATTGTTGTGGTAAGCAATTGTACTTTCTGTTTTACGGGTGGAAATCAAAACTGTTGCCATGTTAAGTTCCAGGGACTAAGTTCCTAGGGGCAGGGGCTGACCCCAAGGCCAATCTTGACAGCATATCTGTATCAGTGATTTGTTGCCTAATTGTATATATTATTATATGGTAGAGATCTCAATCATTTCCATGATATGACCGAGGAACTAAATCCCCGAGGACAAGGCCAATCTTGGTAGAATGTCTGTTGTCTTTTGCTTCATGCCAAACAGTTTCATATATGGTTATGCGTTGGGATCCCCTTTTCAGTCTCACTCCCATGTCTTGAGTTTTAAGCCACTTAATTTGCAAAAACATGATTGATATCCATTTTATTCATAGTTCTAAAGAAGAAGTTATGTAGGTTCATATGACAAAACATCATTTTTGTCCATTCATTTGTACAATTCTAAATCCCCACCATCTTTAAGGATGTTTCCATTTAATTTGATCAAAATCCAAAAACGGTAGTCTGACAGATAGTGGACAGAGGTAGTATGCCAGCCAGAAGATGAAAACTGTGGTATAAGCTCACCTTGGTCTTTTGGATCCGGTAAGGTAATAATTGTATCCTGTTGCCTGGAGCTAGCATGTTTGGACACATTGAATTGCGATTCTTATCATGAATAGTGAGTATCAACAAACAACTTTTCTTATGATCAAGAATAACAAATTAAGATCACTACTTAAGTTGATCAACATCAACCTTTAAAAAACAACCAGTTTTCATTCAAATCAAAGTGCCGAGAGTACTCAGCGATGCTGTGTATGAAGGATTCAAATAATGGAATAAAGGAGGTAGTATATCAGTACAGAATGGCAGTTAATAATAAAGAACATGTTGTTGAGTAAGGGTCATAATAGCCCATCCCTTAATCATAGTTTTCAATAAAAATATATATAACAAGCAGAGTATTGCTAAAACAATATAGGTCCCTTACTGGCTACCATTAGCAGTATAAAAATAAGTCACGATGACCTTGACCCAACAGCCCTGAAATTGAAACTTGTCTCATGTTATGGTCCTTAATTAGTGTTTCAAATCGATGGAAATCCTTTAAGGAATGACAATGAACTTTTTAAAAATAGTAACAGTGACCTTGACCAGACAACCCTGCAAACCAAAAGTGTCCCGTAAATAATAATAATAATAAAAAAATGTTATATAGATAATACAAATAAATAATTATGATATTATTATTACAATTTGTTATTATCATGATTAATTATACAACAAATTAAACGAGATGGTATTATTTCCCATGTGTGTAATCACGGACTTATGCAAGTCCCTTGTGTGTCTCTCCTTCTCTCGATATTGAAACGAAGGTTAAAGACCTATATTATTTCTGGTTAATGTGATTAATATGTATATACGGTTTTAATTTTTGATGTTAAATATGCTACTTGTATTAAACTTATCGGGCCAATATCTAGAGATGGTATTGGGAAACTATCAACAAACTTGTTTTTTTAAAAAAACCTCTTTGTATTATTGATCGTTTTCATATGTATTTCATCATTTTATAGCATTCATCATACCATGAAATAATCAACACAGCATTTAAAGATCTTCCGCGGAAGAAGAAAGTCTGTTGGCAAGGACCATTATGAATGCTGTACACAGCATCCAATAAATCTGTTTAATTTTTATCCTTTACAGACCAATTAGTTTAACACACTACGTATACATGTCTAATATGAGAACTATCTCTATGACTACTGATTGTTTTATTTTGCATGTGATTTAACTAACAACCTCCTGGGTTGACATTTATCTTACAGAACAGGAAATCGTGCATACAGACACATGCATGAATACTGTTATAATACGTCAGTCCCATCTTTATTTAGATGGTGGATTCAAAGTTTATGGCCAATGAACGAGCATTCCATAAGGTATAAATCAATGCATGCCATATTGGTTTTTGTTTATGGTTTTTTGTTGTGAGCATACCTCAGCCACAGCTTGTGGTTAAATCATTGAACTATTGGGCACATCACTGTGAGCTATTAGTCTGGACTCACTCGCCGCGTTACAGATTTGGAATTTGATTATGATGAAATGTCTGTCCCAAAGGACATCTTGTATTAAGATGAATTTAACAAAATGTTCATAGTCCTTTGGTTGATTTGTGCTTTTTCGTAGTTTCATCTTTTTGCCCGAAAAAGACAAAGTTTTAAGACTTAAGATAAAACAATGAGGATTTCTGTTTGAATATAAAACAACAAAAATGGCACATATCAGTCACCGTAATATAGTTTTCAACAATATTATAGTAGTTTCAATACACAAGTTATGTAGACTAACAAGGATGTTAAAATCTACTTTGTAACCAGTTGACTTGTGTTTATGACATCTACTGAAGTTTCTAGCGAATATACACGGTTGAAGTCTGTTAAGACTTACAAATTCAAGCTGACACAACTATTTAAAGAACATTAAAATTAAACTCATTTCAATACAGAGCTATATTAAACAAGACTTCAGAATTCTTCCAAGTTTCTTCACTCGTATTGTCAGCTTTAAAGAAGCAAAGATCAAAAGCACTGCACATATAGAAGATCTGTTGAGTGTAAATTGCACATGTGCACCTGTAGTCAAGCTAGGCATGGATATGAGGGAGACAGCTACTGTTAGACAGGTGCAGCAGTGAGCAGGGTGGACGACTGCCCGGGTCAGTATCACAAAGTAAGGCCGAGTATTCACAACTAAATTGTTGCCGCTACATACTATGTAGCCTGAGTACAGCTGCAAGCTCTAGGGTTAGACATGGCATATATAATACACCATACAATACATATATATATACATAACGTTGGGTGGGGATCTGGCCCACACCCTTGGTGTTATTTATTTAGTAAGAAGGTCGGTGGATGGGGTGTTGTTTTGTTAAGTATGAAGTACATTTGTTATGTATCACTGAAAAATGCCCAGAAAGGAAATCAAGTACAGGAGAGAGGCAGATGCTTTCAGCAATATTGTAGGTGAGGATAATTTTAATGTAAAGTTGGTGGGTCAAGGTTAGAATATAAGAGGATCAGGAGAGGCGGTGATGTATGCATGGTTGATGAGAATGGCCAGAGAGAGAAATAGGATGAGCGTTGACAGATTTGTCAGTTGGACCATCAGTGAACAGGGATAGGATGTGTATCCTCCTAGGCTTGCAGTGGTGCAGGGGCAGGGGGGATTAGTGGGTAGGGTGGGGTGGGCCAGTGAGTATGGCCTCAAGATACGGGATGGCAACAAAAATAAAAGATGGGGGTGCCATTTGGCTGTCAGAAGGAAGTTTAAACAAAAGGGATTAATGGCTGGTTTGGGATAAGCGATTTGAGTAGGGTCATGGATGAGAATGGACATAGTGGGGGAGAGTGTGAGGGAGCAAGATGGAGAAAAAAGCAAGATAGATAAGAAAGCGAGTTAGAGGCTTAGACATTATAGGATCATAGGTGAAAGTGAAAAAGGTAAGGTGAGAGGGCAGGACTTGATGATCGACACGTACAGCCTGGAATAAGGATGGAAATGGAGCAATATCGGATTTCTCAATGTGTGCTTGGCTGGTACAACTTTGCTATCATAATCTTTTTCACACAATACAATATATTTCCTACATTAAAGCAAGAATTTTTATTACACGGTAAAAAGAATGAGATAAAATATAATAGACAGAAGTACAGGTGTAATAAAAGGTAAGTTGACCTGGTCGTGGGTCAGTATGGGCAGACTTGGGAGAAGTGGACAGGTCGTGGGTCAGTATGGGCAGGCTTGGGAGAAGTGGACAGGTCGTGGGTCAGAATGGACAGACTTGGGAAAAGTGGACAGGTCGTGGGTCAGTATGGGCAGGCTTGGGAGAAGTGGACAGGTCGTGGGTCAGTATGGGTAGACTTGGGAGAAGGGGACAGGTCGTGGGTCAGTATGGACAGACTTGGGAAAAGTGGACAGGTCGTGGGTCAGTATGGGCAGGCTTGGGAGAAGTGGACAGGTCGTGGGTCAGTATGGGTAGACTTGGGAGAAGGGGACAGGTCGTGGGTCAGGATGGACAGACTTGGGAGAAGGGGACAGGTCGTGGGTCAGTATGGACAAACTTGAGAGAAGTGGACAGATCGTGTGTCAGTATGGACAGACTTGGGAGAAGGGGACAGGTCGTGGGTCAGTATGGACAGACTTGGGAAAAGTGGACAGGTCGTGGGTCAGTATGGGCAGGCTTGGGAGAAGTGGACAGGTCGTGGGTCAGTATGGGTAGACTTGGGAGAAGGGGACAGGTCGTGGGTCAGTATGGACAGACTTGGGAAAAGTGGACAGGTCGTGGGTCAGTATGGGCAGACTTGGGAGAAGTGGACAGGTCGTGGGTCAGTATGGACAGACTTGGGAGGAGTGGACAGGTCGTGGGTCAGTATGGACAGACTTGGGAGGAGTGGACAGGTCGTGGGTCAGTATGGACAAACTTGAGAGAAGTGGACAGATCGTGTGTCAGTATGGACAGACTTGGGAGGAGTGGACAGGTCGTGGGTCAGTATGGACAGACTTGGGAGGAGTGGACAGGTCGTGGGTCAGTATGGACAGTCTTGGGAGAAGTGGACAGGTCGTGGGTCAATATGCATGGACAGACTTGGGAGAAGTGGACAGGTCGGGAGTCAATATGCATGGGCAGACTTGGGAGAAGTGGACAGGTCGTGGGTCAGTATGGACAGACTGGGGAGAAGTAGACCAAGGGCAATGAATGAAGACGGCTGGGGTGAGTGGGCAGGGCCATGCTGGATTAGTATTACCTTCCCACATGCAAGGCCACCAAGTATAGAGAGTACCACTCCTACGGTTTTGGCCACAAATGCGCGTAAGGACAGCAGACCTGGGATTTTCACACCGTTCAGGTAGGACTTGATGTAGGGTATCCCACTCCCTGCTGCCATTGGCTACAAAGAAATCGAAATCCATCATCTTAAAATGCATAATTTATTAACACATATTAGCATCTACTTACATCATTTGAAATTTTATATCAACACAATCTCATCGAGGAGCTAAATTAATTTCTTTATGTTTAATGCTACCTACCTGCATAAATGTGACGAGGGCAGCCCCTGCTAGACTGATAACTAAGTTGATGCCCATCCATATCAGAATAGGCTGATACAGGCAGCTGTGGTTGGCACAATGGTCAAAATCTGAAGGTCAGGGTCAAGGTCATAAAATTTCAAGTTCAAGCACTAAAAGACATTGAAATAAAATCAATAATTTGAGGTTCTTATATACCGCTTTATCACAACCTAGTTCGTAGGTCGTCTCAAAGCAGTTCACAAATTATTATCTGTGGTTATAGGGCCTTTGCAACCAGCCAATATCTTTCTCAACTCCCTAGGGAGCATACAGCTAGTGCTGCCATTTCGGCGCTCACAGCTAGCATTCAATAATTCCAGCACTGCCAAACCACATACACTGTACTCATTTACAGCTAAGTAGATTGGAACAAGCGGAGTAAAGTATCTTGCTCAAAGATACAACACAGTGCCGTGCCTCGAACCCGAGCCCAGCGTCCTAACACTAGACTACTGTGCCTCCTTAAGACTACATTTGACGTAAATGGCTTATATCAAAATAAAATTATCAGGAATGACATTATATTATAGTAACACACTGAAGAGAGAAACACTATGTGTAGAAGGTTGTAATACTATCACCATGCCAAGGAAATTTCAACACATGAACTTTGTATATATATGAAAGACAAATGTCTTATAAATAAACTTGATTTATTTTACAACAATTATGAAACAAGTTATTTTAACTTATATTAATCACTTTTGTTGGCCCGGATGTTAGTGTGCGAGGGTCTTATTGTGGGAGAAAATCCACGTGGTCGGGCAGGTAACCCCATACCTTTTCACGTCCCATCGGGGATTGGTTTGGTTTAGTATTGTTAGCGTCCTATCAACAGCTATGGTCATTTAAGGACGGCCTCACCTGTGTGCAAGATGCATGCGTGTTGTGTATGCGTGTGCGTTTTGATCGGGGAATCAAACCCCGGCCGCCTTGGTGAAAGGCAAGTGTGCTATCCACTGAACCACCCGACCACCCATAAAATGTCTTCCCTCCCCTTATCATTACAAACATCTATCCTTTCCATATTACAGAAAGGGGACACAGATTGCGTGACAACCATCTCCCACTAAAGTCTTCTCTCTCTACAGAGACAGCACACATGTCTCCCTCTCTGTTATAGAACGTGCCATGTCTTGATTTAAACACAAATGTTTTTCTCTCTTCCCAATACAGAAAGAGCAGACAGACAGCAAGTCTCCCACTCCCTATTACTGATAGTCCAAATATCTCCTTTCATATGTTAAAGAAAGGGGAGGGGGCACCCACATACAATCACTTCTTTGATGGGGTGTATATATACACTTCTAATGAGGTTAAAAAAGTTTGAAATTTATATGTATTGGGTTTAATTTTTGTAGTGATAGACACAATTTTTTCCTGCATGAGTTCTGCACATAGAAGATAACTTTGATTACCCAGGGATTAAATAATATGTTACTAGCAATCGAAACTGACACCTTCTTTTATCATCAAAGAAACATGAGGCTGGATGTTGCTTTGATATTAAGCCCTGATTAGTCTATCTTACGTAGCCCCGTACAGGTTTGTGTATATCCTAGACATGCACAGCTTTATATCATAAATAAACACAGATGTCTATGCAGCTGAAAAAAGAAAACCAAAACAGAAGTAGCGCATCAGCAAGCTATTTCACAATCAAATGATCAAATGACCTGATTTTTTTCTATCTTGACAGGAACAGAAATCACAGCCAGACAACAGACAAATTGGCAAAAGAAAAGACTGGGGACAGATAGAAGACAGAGGGACAGATAGAAGACAGAGGTACAGATAGAAGACAGAGGGACAGATAGAAGACAGAGGGACAGTTACAAGACAGAGGGACAGATAGAAGATAGAGGGACAGATAGAAGATAGACGGACAGTTAGAAGACAGAGGGACAGTTACAAGACAGAGGGACAGATAGAAGACAGAGGGACAGGTAGAAGATAGACGGACAGTTAGAAGACAGAGGGACAGATAGAAGACAGAGGGACTAGACATATAGAAGACAGAGGGACAGTTAGAAGACAGATGGACAGATAGAAGACAGAGGGACAGATAGAAGATAGAGGGACAGTTAGAAGACAGAGGGACAGATAGAAGACAGAGGGACAGATAGAAGACAGAGGTACAGATAGAAGACAGAGGGACAAGACAGATAAAAGACAGAGGGACAGTTAGAAGACAGAGAGACAGATACAAGACAGAGGGACAGATAGAAGACAGAGGGACAGATATAAGACAGAGGGACAGATAGAAGACAGAGGAACAGATAGAAGATAGAGGGACAGTTACAAGACAGAGGGACAGATAGAAGACAGAGGGACAGATACAAGACAGAGGGACAGATAGAAGACAGAGGTACAGATAGAAGACAGGGGGACAAGACAGATAAAAGACAGAGGGACAGTTAGAAGACAGAGAGACAGATACAAGACAGAGGGACAGATAGAAGACAGAGGTGCAGATAGGAGACAGAGGGACAGATAGAAGACAGAGGGACAGTTACAAGACAGAGGGACAGATAGAAGATAGAGGGACAGTTACAAGACAGAGGGACAGATAGAAGATAGAGGGACGGATAGAAGATAGACGGACAGTTAGAAGACAGAGGGACAGTTACAAGACAGAGGGACAGATAGAAGACAGAGGGACAGACAGAAGACAGAGGGACAGATAGAAGACAGAGGGACTAGACATATAGAAGACAGAGCGACAGTTAGAAGACAGATGGACAGATAGAAGACATAGGGACAGATAGAAGACAGAGGGACAAGACATATAGAAGATAGAGGGACACTTAGAAGACAGAAGGACAGTTAGAAGGCAGAGGGACAGATAGAAGACAGAGGGACAGATACAAGACAGAGGGACAGATAGAAGACAGAGGTGCAGATAGGAGACAGAGGGACAGATAGAAGACAGAGGAACAGATAGAAGATAGAGGGACAGTTACAAGACAGAGGGACAGATAGAAGACAGAGGGACAAGACATATAGAAGATAGAGGGACACTTAGAAGACAGAAGGACAGTTAGAAGACAGAGGTACAGATAGAAGACAGAGGGACAGATAGAAGACAGAGGGACAGATAGAAGACAGAGG